ATATATATATATATATATTATAATATATATATATGTGTTCGATATAATAAATTTATTATAATATAATAATAAATACATATTGTGTGTGATTTTAAATAACTAAATCTCGATTAAAAAATAATTTCAATTATTATTTATTGCAAGCACCAAGTGTCCACCAACGATACTGACATCTCAACACTTAACAATAGCAATGCTAACATCACAACACTGCAATGAAAGTGAATACAAAATGGGTACTCTTATAAATAAAAGACGAATCTAGAATTTGTTTAAATCCCACCCTCTTCCCACTACCACTACCACCATACCACCACCACCACCACCACCACTGACAATGAGATTATTAACGATAGTAACATTGATAACAGTAATAATAAATATAATTATTATTACCACCACTATATATACTATATACTCAAAGAGACAACCGGGATTTGATCGTGACGGTCAAAATATTGTATCACACGTGCTTTCCTCTAACATAAGATGTGACGACAGAGTTTTAATTCAACGTATGTATGTGTGTGTGTGTATATACGTGTCATGTAGTAGAGACAAGTAAACGACGACGCCGTATAGCTAAGCTTAACAGTTCATTTATCAGTCAAGCACGACCGCGTGCGGAACACGGTTCACATAGTCTTGGCTGCATCATCAACTAGAAAAAAGAAAAGAAAAGAAAAGAAAAAAAAAATAATAAAAAATAAGAATAAGAAGAAATATAGTCAAAGATAACTCTTCAATTAAAAATCAAAAGTCAGTCTCGTTTTTATCTAATTCCAATAAAAACTGGAATATTCGTGGATTTGTTTGTTTCTATTACATGTCAAAGTTTTTACAAATAACAGTTGTTCGATTATCATTAAATTAAATCATAATAATAAGCTGCATTACGTCGGATTATTGGAAATTTCGTTAAAAGGTGATTTTCACGAGCAACCCGTTGTTAGGTGGATCATCGTTGTTGATCGTAATCAAGACACGATAGATCTAACATCGAAAAAAATCGACACGCTGGCGCTAATTCAACGATATGTAATTATTACGTAAGTGAAACTGCCCAATGTCTTTTTCCTTTTCCCCCCTTATCTTTTTACGTTTATTATAATATGTAACGTGCGTTTTGTTTTTCTCTCTCTCTCTTTTTTTTTACCTTCGACGACGAGTAAATTGCGCGTTTTTATTTTTTATTTTTTTTTTTAAACATGTTAAATATGTTGCATTGCATGTTTTTTTTCTCTATTTTTTTTTCAAACGAATTTTTCTCCACTTTTTAATTTCATTCGCTTAACAACTTGAAGAATTATTATCTATCAATCTCACGTAAGAAATTCCTTATATAGATATCAATAAATTCTTATCAGTTTCGTGACTCTTTCTCGAGATCTATCGATAATCTGATTTATTATTATTGAAGTTGCCTACTTAAATAATCATTCCCAATGAGATTCTCTTACTCTAGTTGAGATATTAATCTAATATTATTATCAAAACCGGATGGTAAAATGCTAAAGTTCGATTCGCGCAATCATTTATATATGTCCGATAAAAAAATAATAATTCATTTATATTTTATTTTCGTTTTTTACTTTCGATAAAAGTGAAACAAACAAAAAGAAATAAAAAAAAACAACAACTCTTTTGTGTTCCCTTCTTTATCTCTAAAAAAGGAAATTAAAAAAAAAAAATAAATTAAAAAGAACATTCGTTCACGATAAACAATGGACGCATAAAAATCTATCTGAAATAAATCAAATTAATTTGCAACAAAAAATATCGGCCAATCAATCAATTGATTAGGTGCAAAATTAATTTGCATCACGGTTCAAACGAAATGAGAATCATCTTCGTAAATTATTCTAAACGAATTTTCTAATCTTTTAAACGATCTATCTACAGGTGTGCGTGCTGTGTGTGTGTGTGTGTGTGTGCGCGCGAGACATTTTCTTCCTTTTTTTTCCCCCCTTTTTTTTTTTTTTTGCGGATTCGCGTGCGCTTGCACGTCAGCCTCTTGTTAACGCCACGTGCAATGAGATTAAATGTAACTCGAGATTAAAGTTCCTCGTGTTGCGATTAGACTGATATGCTGATTCGAAGGACGTATAATATTTCGCCAACGTTAATTATTTTATAAGATCTTCGTCGTCGTCGTTTTTTTTTTGTTTCGTGTGTTCGTAAACCCCCCATTTTAATAAACCGCGACTATAAACCGCGGTGCAACGACATTGAAATTAAGAAAAATAAAAAGAGAGATAGAGAGAGAGAGAGAGAGAGAGAGAGAGAAAAAAAGGACAAAAAAATGAAGAAAAATAAATTCAAACGATCGTGTTGCTTATCGTGCACAACGCGTTATCAATTACCGAAGCTTAATTTTAATATCCGTCTTAAGAAATAATACCGACTACTGTCTAACGTTTTATATTTGAACACATGTTTACATGTAACTGTGTGTCCGTGTCTATTTGCGTGTACGTGTACGTGATGCTATAATTGGATTTAAATTTATCGAAAGATGATCTTTCACGATCAGCATTTTTATATCGATTTTTATTTTTTTAATACTACGATTCATTGGGTAATCAAATTTTTTTCGAAATATTTCGGCCGTATCTTTTGTCATTAATAATTTTTAATTGACCGGGCAAAATAAAAAGAAAAAAAAATAGGGAAAGACAAATATATTTATAGTAAACAACAAATTTGATTTATATTCTAACATAAATGATATATTTTAACATCGCTCAATGTATAACTACGTTTCCCGTGTTTCTTTATCTCGAAAAGATTGAATTGCGATATATCTTAACATGTTCTTGACTTTTTTTTTACCTTCTACTCACGTTAGATACTCTAGATTAAGGCTGACGGAACTGGGCAGAGCCGACGTTAAATTGTCTCAGGTTGATCCTGAAATTCGCGATTTTGGGATAAGGAACTATCATCCTACAATACGTCAGCACCGAATTCGGTAAGTTTCAATGATAAATAATGAAAATAACATCTTATTAAAACAATGATTATTTCAATATTCAATTTTTGATATACCTAATCGCGTTCGAGTCCCAATTAATAATTCCAAACATATTTTCTTTGAATTGTTTTAAATAAAAATGAATGAATAAGTAAAAAAGAGAAAATTGTATGACACCAACGACGCGTGTGGCAGGTTGAAGAACTTATATTATAGGGGAGGTGCTTAAAATTAAAGGGAAATCACGTAGAGGGAGGAAAACTATAGGTTCAAAGGACAAATAAGAAAAAGAATCGAAGCGGTAACAATGGGTTTTGAAAAAAAAATAAAGAGAAAGTCTAAACATTTTTTTCTTAGAACTTAGGAATGCTAGAAAATAAAAGTTGGCTGGCATTGAATCTATTCGAAGGTATTTAAACGACAAGGTTGAGCACGAGAGAGAGAGTAGTTTCATTTTCGAAAAGGTTTTCGAAGGATTCGGATGTTCGGAAGAAGTTCGGTGATCGAATATTTTTACAAGAAAATTTGTCTTCAAAGTGTGTTCGAATATTATTAACAAAATCGTAATGTTGAATATTGAAATATTCTAACAGTTTATAAACGTGCATTTTTGTTGTTGTTGCTGTTGTTCTTCTTGTTGTGAAATGTAACTGTGTTAAATCCAAAAAGAACTTAAGTTAATTTTCCATTTTTCCAACGGGAATAAAAAAGAGAAGTGAATAAACTAAAGTTTGAATTTTCTTTGCGATTCGCAACTTTGATCGCAACTTATTTTCAATATTCATCCCAAAAAATTCATTCATTCGTTAATAAATGTACGTAAATCAAAACGCAGGCATGGTCGGTTTGCCGGTCTTGGAGACTGAAACATCCTTGATGAGCAATAATCAAATAAACGATCTAGAGAAGTGCAATGAAAGCAGAAGTACAGAATTAGTTAGGATTATGGATCAACCTTTCGTTATTCCACGTGTAACGATGTCACCCAATAATGGTAATGACAATTACACGTTGGAATTTGAGAAGATTGGCAAATCCGATAAGAAGAAGACATTCAACGCGGCTGAAATGAAAGCGGAACCTGTGGTATTGAAAAAAGTTGCAGGTAAGTACAAAATTCACATTTCGTTTCTTTTTTGAAAAGAAGAAAAATAAGTTAAAAAAAGAACATTTCTAATCGAAGTCATAAATAATTATTGTTGTTTCGTTGTTACTAGCAATAAAAATATTTCGAGTGCTATATTTATCCGCGACAGTAAAAAATAAAAAAAAAAAAAAACATAAAATAAAAAAAACAGTAATGATAAGCTATCATTGTTGGCGTTATCGTATTCTCGTTAAAAAATTTTAAACAGTATGCGTGAATTTTTCGTATAATATGTTGCACCGAAAACACATTTGAAACAAAAAAAAAAGAAAAGAAAAGAAATAAATAATAATAATAATAATAATAATAATAAGCTTTCGAATGATAATGTCAATGACGAATTTAGTAATAAAAGCAAAGATTCGTATGTACCAATATACATAAATCGAACAGTATCTCATGTACTTTCGAACGTACAACAACAAATCTTTAACGTTAGAAATGAATTTCGATAGAGTTAGGAAAAAAATAAATATTAATAGATTGTAATATCACAAACACAAAAATAAAGTAAGAAAGAGGAAAAAGGAAATAATTCGAAAAATATTAATCGTTTCTTTTGATCATTTTGTCGAATCTAGCCGGCCTAAAAGTTCCTAATGGACAAACGAACAAAAAGGATATGCCAATGGCAAATGGTGGCAGTGGTGGTGAAGGTGGTGGTAATGGTGGTGGTTCGTTATCCAGTGGATGTTCCATAGTGACCATCTCTTCCGTTGCTAATTCAGACCCCGATCCTGATTACTCTAAAGATCCAATTCGAAATGGTGGTGGAAGAAAACAAAGGACCGAAAAATGGTACAACACGCTCATGCAAATTTCTGTACCATTTTTCATCGCTGGAGGTGGCACCATAGGAGCTGGTCTTGTTTTAGACCAAGTTCAAGTAATTACTATTATTATTATTATTAATCTAAAGTATATTCTATATATATATATATATATATATTCTATCAAAAACAAAATGAATTAACTAAATTTGACTCTAATTATCTAAAAATATTCGAACAATTATCATCTCTCTGTTCAAATAATTACGTGTATAACGAAATTATATGAAATTTCATCATAATTCATATAAAATATAATATGGCATACACACAATTTGTCATTATATTATTACTTTGAAAATAATTTTAATTCGATAATGCATTAATTGGTCACCGAGTCGAGTCGAGTCGAGTGTTCATATTTATTTGTCGATCAATCGTATTTACGTAATAGAAACTTTTTTTGTTGGGACGATCAGACAAACGTAATAAGAAAATACAAATAAAAAGTACAATATTGTATATTTTAGCACTGGGAAGTATTCCAATCCGTAGGCGAACTGTTGATCTTGGTACCTGCATTGTTAGGATTAAAAGGAAATCTCGACATGTGTTTGGCATCCCGATTGAGTACCCAAGCGAATTTAGGAAATATGCATAAATTACGGGAAATAATGAAAATGATTATTGGCAATATCGCCCTTGTACAAATCCAAGCGATAGTTGCTGCTGTTTTGGTAGCAATTTTTGCAATAAGCGTTGGTGCAATACAAGAAGCTGTGCACGGCGATGAAAACAATCTTGATTCGCCATTCAAATGGAATTACGCTTTACTATTGGCTGCGTCGAGTGTTTGCACGGCAACAAGTTCCTGTTTTATTTTAGGTACGTAACATTCCTCATATTTCATTATTTCATTGACTTATAATCACAATGATCGTCAGTTGTATCAATAAACTCTCTATAACCGTGTGTGTGTGTGTGTCATCATTTTTCATTACAAAACTATAATTATATTAAATTTATAACGTTTACCGACATAAGCGTTAAGAGCATTTAACTTCGATCATAAATTAAAAATTCATTTAATGACGAGATAAAAGAAATAAAAGTATAGAAATGCAAATCTTTTTTTCCTTTTTTTGTTATCAAATATTTAAATAATACGGAATGTACGACTTACGAATTAACCGTGACGTTATAGAAAGGAGGGAAGGGGGAATGGGGGTAGATGAAAATATTCCGAATAAAACTGTTCAAATAAAATAACCTAACGACGATTTGTTTTCAGATTTCGTGATGATTGCGGTAATCATGATATCCCATAAATGTAAGATGAACCCGGACAATCTAGCAACACCATTAGCAGCATCGGTCGGTGATGTGGTATCGATCAGTGTCCTATCAAGAATAGCATCCGCATTTTTCCTAAGATTACAACAGGAACAAATTTGGATTCTCTATGTCGTATTAATCGGTTACTTTTTATTATTACCATTTTGGATCGCGGTGGTTATGAAAAATAAATATACGAGAAATGTTTTAACATCTGGTTGGGTACCCGTCTTGTCTGCACTGTTCATCAGTGGGTAAGCATTACTCCTTTATTTAATTAATAATGATCTATCACAAAAAAGAAAAAAAGAAATGATTATCTACGAATTCAAACATCGTCAACGTGACTGATAAATAATGTCAATAATCATTTTAGCCTTGGTGGATTGATTTTGAACGAAGTAGTCGACAAATTTACCGGATTCGTAGTATTCCAACCAATTATCAATGGAATCGGCGGTAATTTGGTATCCGTGCAAGCTTCGCGAATCTCAACGATGTTGCATCAAACCTCTATTCTAGGAATTTTACCTCCCCACGCTAAATTATGGGTAGCACCGTGGACGGCACTTTTCAAAGGAGGTACTTTTTACAAACAAACATAAAACCAAAATTATAATTCTAACATTAATATTATATCGATATGTGTTCGTTTCAAATCAAATTATAAAATATTACATATAACATTTTTTTGATTTGCAGCACCTTACGCCAAAACTGCCAGGTTATTAATCGGAATGGCAATTTCCGGTCAATTGGTATTCGTTTTTCTAGCGGATTATATTAAATGTCAGAGTACAACATTGGACGCTTACTTTGTAATTTCTTATATCGTTGTATCCGTTTTACAAGTGAGTGTATTTACTTATCATTTATATATATATATATATATATGATACATCTAATGGTATTATTTTAACAAAAATTTCTAAATTTATTTCAGGTAATGTTGTTGCTCTACGTAGCACACATAATAATACATGCAATGTGGAGGCACAAAATAGATCCAGACAATTCAGCGATACCATATTTAACTGCATTAGGTGATCTATCGGGCACCATGTTTCTAGCATTAGCTTTCTGGTTCCTAACAGCTATACACAAGGAATATAAATCCTGTGAAATTAACGACGTTGCCACGACAACTATTAATACAAATTTGATTGGAAATTCAACGTTAATCCCGATCGTTTATAACGCAACATTTTCATCGTTAAACTAATTTCTAAACAACATTTGTCGATATTTATTTTATATCAATGCTAGTGAAAGACTGACCATGAGACGATAATTTCTTTTTTTTTTTATTAACAAAAGTAACGATTACATTTAATTGATCCCGTCGGCCCTGCCCACAGCCCCCCCGATTCAAATCTAAAAGAATAGTTCGTTATGTTCGATTAAAAAAAATGAGAACATCGATCTAAACTATAATAATACATCGAACAGGTCACAACCTAAAGAATTATTCTAAATCGTTAGGAAAAAAAAAAGAAAAGAAAAGTGTAAAGTATTTTTTTTTTTTTTTTAGAGAAAAAAAGAAAAAAAGAGAGAGATAGATTAAATGTAGAAAAATTATATATCTCTTCTTTTTTCTTTTTTTCTTTTTTAATCAAATAATTAATTTAAAATCCTGTCAATTGCAATACTCACACGATACAACAATTAAATTGTATATACATATATATATATATATATACATATATCACACACCAATTGATCCGTTCTTCGTCGTTGTATTAAATAATCTTATTGTTTACTTTTAGAATTATTATTATAGCGTATAATTTAGATGAATATGAACAAAAAATCTTTATTAAATTAGTTAGACAATATATTCCAACGAGTAGGAAAAATAGACCCTTTTGATAAAATTTCAAAAAACCATTATATAATATAAAGAATTAAATAAAATCAAATAAAATAGTTATACATATACATAAATAAAACGCGTGAGCTCGAAGAAAATACAGATAAATAAATAAAAATGAATTTATTGAAAATATAATTATTATAAATAATATAATAATAAAAAAAAGACACACAAATCTTAAAAAATTAGATATAAGTTTTTCCTGAACTAGACAATGTCCATGTGATTATCGCGTTATTATCTCTCGTCATCATTGTTAAATAATTATTAATTAATGAAAAACAGGAAAGAGAGAGAGAGAGAGAGTTAGATGGATAAGAAGAAAAATAAAAAAAAAAGAAGAAAAAAAAAAGAAAATTGTAAACAGATTGTAAAAATGTGAAAAGGGGTGGAGAAGGGGGAGAGAGAAGATTGAGCATAGAAAATGATATAGGAAAAAATGAAATTATAAAATTGCAGATACACCGATCTCTTCTTATCTACTACTACGAATGAGTAAACGAGTAATGATTAAATTGTACTGGCCATTAGAGTATCGTCGCGTTTGCGTCTACTTGCATAATCGACCTATCGAATGACGTTACGTAACACGCGTTGAATACATTATGCGTATTTTAAAAGACCCAACGCGATTATCTGTTTCCATAAAAAAAAGAAAATTTTTATAAAAAGAAAAGCAACTCGGAAGAATAAAAAAGTGGAATTAGTGAAAAAAAAGAAAATTTTACATAGAAAAATCTTGTTAATAACAGAAACTTTTACCACTTGTCTAATTAATTCCAATGCATTATTAATAAGACGAACGTATCCGTCCGGAGATCCAGTTTCTTTTGTTTCTGAGATTTTAAACAAAAAATAAACTGAGAATTATTTTACAATTAGATACAAAATGTAAAGTATTATGTGCGAACAAAAAGGTATGACGATAAATATTTCCTGTTTATAAATTAATTGTGTTTTCAATAAAATTTTATGAGAAAACTAACGCGAACAAGATATATTATTATTATTAATAAAAATAATCGAGTTAATCTCGAAATTATTGAGAGATAAAAATATCTTCTAATATCATTTGGAAATGTTCTTACATTCGTCTCTGATCGAATAAAATAAACATCGTATAGTATACCCAATCGTTGTAACTTTCTCTCTGGGTATTACCGTAGAAAATTCGTTCATCTGATTTATAAGGGATGACCCACCTCCACCGTCCGAAAAGATTTATTGCTTCTTTTCAAAATTCCAAAATAGGAAAAACAAACTTAATCGAAATCTAAAACAAAAATCAAGCTTTGTTAGTATACGAATAATAACAATTGTGTTCATTGTATAGAAAAGTAAAGAAGAAAAACCTTGACCAAATTTACCTGAACTTACCTGTATTCTTTTATAGTATTGTATCTCCTCACCGCGTTAAGTACCTAGTGTCGCCCTCTGTTGGTTAGAATATTAACTAATGTAATATGAATCTTGTATCACAGAGTGCGCTATACATGATATTCCACTGTTGGTAAAACAGTTTCACTACTAAAAAATCTTTGCTCTACTTTCCATGTATCACGTACCACACATACGTAAACATACACACACGTATATATAGATATATATAGATTTTTCTTTTCTCCCCACTTATCTTCTCGTTCCCTACAAACGTAATACTCCTTACTTACTTGTTAGATCACTTCTATTTCCCCTACTACAATCTCATCTAACGATGATCAGCTTTAATCTGTCTACTCGCGGCAATTTCGAAGTGGACCATTCATATTCGCATTCATGATAATAAGCCGGGGATTTGAATGACTGGAAAAACGAGTTTGACGATCGATCATTTAAGTAATTTGTGTAACTGTTATGCAAGTAAGTAAGAAAAAACTAATTAATTATCACCTTATTCTAATGCAGAGTTAACCAAAGGAGTAATGATCAAGCTGGAGTGTTAATCGTTCTTCACTGTCATCGTCGTGCAATGGTCAATGTATTATCGTATCTCTTTCTCTCTCTCTCTCACTCTCACTCGTACTATACATAACATATACACATACACACATTTATATATATGTATAGATGATGTATTAAAAAGGAAGGTTCGTTAAATTTGTGTGAAGCCCGTTAAGCACCGTTCGGTGTTCCATTAAATAACGTTCCATAAGGCCGACTACTCGTAGAACTCGGTATGGGTGTCTGTTTCTGCTTAAATTAGTGCACAGTGCGTGGCACAGCCTTAACTCAACACTCCTCTCCTCGTCTAACCAAAGCCGAATCATTATGCCAGTGATAATACGTCGTTGCCTGTTGCTGTTCTGCTGTTACAAATTCGATATCAAAGGAAAAGGTATATATCATATTGCAATCATTATTTTATTATTTCATTAACAATTATCGATAATACAAAACCACATTCGTATAATACACTTGATATGGTTTTGTATCAAAGGGCGTAGACGCTCCCCTGTGTGGTCCAAAGGGTTACACGAATTCATTGCATTTGTTTTGTCTACCATAACACTTTATTGCATCCTTTCAATTTGAAAAAAAGAACACAGTTTCTGCTTTTGTATGAGGTTAGATCTTTAAAGTACATTTCATTGGCTTCTATTATGGAGTAGTCAACTATGATGACATTTGAAAAAGGTAACTTCTTGATGAAATGAAAGTTTGTTAACTTTCATTGATTCTAATTTAACATACAATGTTCACAAAAAAGTAGATTTCAATTTTGATAAATTTATGAGGTAGTAAAGAATAATGTTATAACTGTTTTCTTTTTTTGTTTGGTTTTCAATTGGTTATGTATGCATACATGTTTATTTGAGATTAATGCTGTGTTAACGGTCTTATTGTTAGATTTGATATATTAGTAGTTGATAATTATGATCAATTAACAACTTGACGATAGGATGCAACGAGGTCAGTTGAGAGATATTTCCTCCTGGATGACCCGCCTGTTTCCTGAACCCAGCGAAAGGATAGATGCTTTTAAGATGTTTGGATCAAAAAGCAGCTGTCCTACCAGTACATTTTATACGGACTTAGAGATCACAGAAAGTAAGGAAGTCGTTACAGAAGAATATGAAGAAAGACAATGTTCTAAAAGTTCACGATCATTGAAGCAACAGAGCAGAACTAACGAAGATGGAAGCTCACAAGATTCGGATACACACACTACTAGCACGGAAGATCATCAATATTCTAGACATTCCTTTCATAGAATCGCAAGTTTTGGGGGTTTTCCAAGGTTTCAACCGTTCGTTATGTCAGCCTCCTCCCCAGCAGCATGCATTGATATTAGTAGCAATGAAGAGACATCCAATGAAAGTTCTTATGTTACTATGTCACACAGTGTTTTAGAATATAGAAGTAGCAGGTTCGAACCATTTAACATTCCTCCTTAATAATATTGTTTGATTGATTTTAATCCTAATCTTTAGTTATTCTATCTTACATTATGTTTAAATATTTGTTTTATTTTCTTTTTCATCTTTTAATAGATGAATCTCTCTATTGCATAGGTACGCAGCTTCAGAAAGAAATTCTCACCAATATATGCTAGATGCATATGCTATAAGTGAATCAGAAAGCGAAGAAGAATCAGAGGAAACCAGATCTTCTGAAACTGAGTCTATTATCACTGTGGATCACACAAATGAATCTACTACATCCGAGCCAAAATTACGTGTACAAAGAAGTTCTCCCGATTCCAAAAGGAAAAAGGCGCGTCGTGTAGCAGAGGAACTATTAGCAACCGAAAAAAAATATGTTAATATCTTACATCTCATCGATCAAGTATTTCAATTCAGAGTTGATCAAGAAAACAGAGCGCATCCAATGTTTCCCCCTGAAACTGTTCAACATATGTTTTCTAATATTAAGTCCATTTACAAATTTCATAATGACTTTTTATTACCTCAATTGGAGGAACGAATGCAATGCTGGGATTCTAAGCCTAGGATTGGAGATATCATGAAAAATTTTGCACCTTTTTTAAAAATGTATACGGAATATGTCAAAAATTTTGACTATGCAATGAATCTGATAAACACATTACAAAACAAAGTAGCGAGGTTTGCAGCAATAATTAATGATATACAAAAATTAGACGAGTGCGCTAAATTATCACTGCCGCATCACATGTTAAGTCCAATACAAAGATTACCAAGATATGAATTACTTCTTAAGGATTATTTAAAAAATCTTACAGAAGAAAATTCTGATTATGAAGATACGAAAAGTAAGATGATTGAAATTTAACAGATAATTTAATTATATGCATATATAATAAATAATATAATAAACAAATGTATTTATATTACATTTCAGAAGCTCTAGAATTAGTATCTACAGCTGCTAATCATACAAATGAAGCAATGAAAAAAATAGATAAGTTTAAGAAACTATTGGAAATACAAGAAAGTATATACGACGCGACCGATCTAGTCAGTGCAACACGCGAGCTCATAAAAGAAGGTCGTATTGTAAAAATATCAGCGAGAAGTGGCGATCATCAGGATAGGCATTTGTTTTTGGTACGTTTATAAACTATCCTTTATTACACGATATATAGTCTAAACTATGAAATATATTTACATATATACTCTCTTATTTCAGTTTAGCGATCTATTGTTATTGTGTTCATTAAGACTGATACCTGGTCCTCCATATCGTTTACGAGCCAAATTTTTAGTAGAAGATTTACAAGTTGTCGAAGGTGATAATTTAGAAACGGCTAATACTTTTTATATTAGATACGAAAATAAAAATGTCGAGTTGTATACATATTCCGCGGCGGACAAAGCGTCATGGTTAGATGCATTGTTCCAAACCATGCAGGAAATAATGAGACGCAAAGCTAGTTTGAAAACTGGTAATGCTAAAACATCTTTGGTTAAGGCTGACGATGTAAATAGATGTATGGTTTGTGAAGTAAGTTTTTCGGTCATGAAAAGGAAACACAATTGTAGAGCTTGTGGAATTGTAAGTTAAATTATTAAAAATCTATACGATTTAAATATTTTTTTACAAATTTATATATATATATAAATACAAAATTATTGTTGCAGGTTGTTTGCAGTAAATGTTCTAATCAAAAGTTATTATTTGAAGACAATAAGAATATGAGAGTATGTAGACTATGTCATGCTGCATTAACTCAGCCTCTTAGCAAATCCCCGTCATCTCCGTCAGGACCAGTGCCAAGTTTGTTACAAGTTTCAGCTAGCGCACCATCAGTATTGTCTGGTTATCTTTTATTAAAAACTCAAGCCAGCAAACCATGGACCAGACGATGGTTTGCATTGCATATTGACTTTGTTTTATATTCATTTAAATCGGAAACAGAGAGTATGGCCATGACAGCAACACCAATGCCAGGTTTTATGGTAACTGATGGTGGAATGTTAACGGATGAGGACCCTTTGAGTAGTAAAGATCGTATAAGAGCATTTAAAATGCATCACTCTAGAAAATGTTATTATCTACAAGCTTCTTCTGATGACGACAAAGAAAAGTATGCACTACATAAAATATTGTCAACTAGAAAAAATGTTAATTGATTAATTTGAAAGTGTAAAAAGAAAAATGTATAATGATTACAGATGGATGCACGCATTGCAATTAGCTACGAAAGCTGAACTACCTCATTTAACCGAACAGATCGAAAACGAACGCGCACAAGAATGTCAATCGTCGTTAAATGATATACAATGAAAGTGAATATCATCGCATTTACGAACTAGCCAATTTTGTACTATTCTTTTCGTAAAAATAATTAGATTATTAGGCAACTGTAAGATAATCGTTAGTTAGCTATATTTAAAGAAGAAGAAGGAGAAGAAAAACAAAAAAAAAAGATAACGTTAACTTATGTTACATATATATATATATATATATATATATATATGTATGTATGTATATATATATATATGTTTTGTTACTAGTGTACACTACGGATCGAGTCAATAGCGAAAGAAACGCTGTCATGACGCTTGTTGTTTTGTAATGTTCTGTTATAGTATATTTATAAATATATATATGTCGTTCAAATACAATTATGCTAACATACACATACATATACACGTATATATATACGTGTATATATATATGCCGATGAAGTAATGATTGAGAAAAGAGAATTTGAAAAAGAGAAAATAAAATTGCTTTAAACGTTAATTATCAATATCATATATCTAATTATAACGAGAATAGAAAGAATCATTTTTTATCGATAAGTTACTTTTAACGCGTATCGTCGAATCTTGTATCTCGCTATTTTAATAATTATAATTATTCGTAATAAATATATATATATATATATATGTATATGCAGGGTAGCTGAGATTTTTCCGGCCAAATTACGTCAGCGTATTCTATTCACGAAAATTACAAAAAAATAATGTTATATAAACGTAGGTCATTTAATTTTATTAAAAAAAGTTATGATTTAAATTATATATATGTTAACGCTTAACGTGTTAAATGACCTATGTTTATATAACATTTTTATTGTTTTTTTCTCGCATAGAATACATTTGGTCGGAAAGATCTCAGACAACCTGTATGTACCTTCCGATTTAGAAAGAGAAAGAAATGATCGCGTTTAATCGTAGAATATATATTTTACCGTAATTTTTCTTCACGTCGACGATTTGAAAAAATAAACATTTAAAGAAAACAAAGAAAACGAAAAATACAGATTTACAATGAGATATTATCACGTTGAATTTGTATTATTAATACGTTTTTGGAACTGCACATATACTCCATCAGCTGCATTCGTGAAAATAGTTACGGGATTTAATAAATTTCCTTTTTCTGGCTTGATAAACATTTTATAATGTAAGATCAATTGGATAACGGCTATCTTCGTTATTAAAATGCCTAATCTTTGACCTAAAAAATTCAATAACAAAGATATTGAAAAGAAAAATAAATTTATGAAATATTTGTCTAATGTGTTAAAAGCATACCAATGCATGATCTTGGTCCAATACCAAAAGCAAGAGATCCTGATAATTTGTTTTTATCATCTTTTTTTCTCAAAGGATTGAACGTTGTTGGATCAGAGAAGTACCTGCTATCTCTGTTAATACCATTGACAGCAACACAAACGGGTGTACCTTTTTCAATAATCAAATCTGTCCCAGGTAACTAAAAACGTACAAAATGTCAAATAATTTACGCATGGTTAAAAACAAATGAATATTTTACTTTGTAATCGGTCGCGGCAATTCTATCAACAATTGGCAGAGGTGGATATAGTCTCAAACTTTCTTCTAATATAGCATCTAAGAAGTTCATTTCATTGATGGAATCCATCGTGAATTCACCCTTGTCAGCGATATCTTTTATTTCATCATACAAACGTTTCTCGTATTCTGGATGTAATGCTAACTCGTAAATTATAAAAGCAATAGCTGTTGACGATGCTTCGAATCCAGCAACGAAAAATGAAACAGCTTGGGCCAACAAATTGTCACCTTCGAAGCCTGGACAAAATTTTTAAATTATATTTTTAAATTATATTTTTAAAAATCTCAGGATGAGATAATTAATTAGTAGAATCAAAAAAAAAAAAAAGAAAAACAAAAAAGAGAAGAAAACAAAATTGACTCACTAAATTCAGGCTTCTGTTCTCCGTTTTTTAAAGTTAACAAAGAATCGATCAAATCTCCTCTCTTATTTCCTGTTATTTCTCTGGCGTTCATCGAATCCCAAAATACATGGCGAAAGAATTCAGCTGGTTTTTTAGCTAATGGTTCGATAAGAGGAGTTATTTCTGGTAAGAGGAAATAAATCAATACGATTATTCCTCGTTTTGTTCCAGACAATATCTTTTGTCCTGTTAAATAATTTCATTCCATTAAAAGAAAAATCCAATATATGAAAAATGAGAGTCAATAATTATCCACAATGTAATTGTATTTTATTAAGAAAAAAAATTACAAATACTAATACGCGAGCACGGTACTGTATCTGATACATTATAATATATTTAACAGTACAGTAGATAAAAAAATAATAATAATATAGATAATTTATGACTCATTCTCTCATATTCAAATATTTAAATTGTATAGAAGAATTCATACCTGCTTCCCAAAAAGCGACGTCATTTTCGTGGAACGAATTAGTATTAATACCGAAAGCAACGGATGAAATAACATCGGTGGCATATCTTGAGCTCAAGGTTTTCAATTCCAAATCTTTCCAGCCGTCAGCGTTGGCTGGTTTATCGTCAATAAATTTTAACATCGAATTACAACATTCCAACATCAATGGTACCATATTTCTTATCTTTCCTCCCGTAAAACTTGGTGTCATTTTAGTTCTCAAATATTTCCATCTAGGATGATTGATCCCAAGAAGATTACATAAACCAACCGTATCTTTTTCATACTTTCCACCAAACATACGATCGGGAAACGTATAAAAATCCGTCACCATTATTTGTTTTATCAAATTCATATCTCTCAATATCAAAGCTGGCTTAGATAAAATATAAAAACCAATATATTTGTCATCTTGATCGGCATAATTGTAAATATCTTGAAGTACTACTCCCGGTGGTTTTTTAAACGTTATGGTGTCCTTGAAGTTGCCAAAAATTAAATGTGCTGGAGGACATTTCACTCCTCGTCTACTCCAGTAAGATAATTTGTATTTTAAATAGAAATATATCACAATTGATATTAATATCAATATTAAAATAAGTTTATTTAGATCAATCGAGTACCCAAACATGATAGAATAATTTCTTTTTTATTATTCCACCATAGAAAATCTGTCGACAAAAAATACAAAATTCAAGAATTCAAATGATCGCATAATGTGAGTTCAGTGTCCAATATAAAAAAAAGTTATTCGGAAACACGAATATAGAGAGAGAAAGAAAAAAAAAAGAAGATTTGTAATTTAGCGATTCGAAAAATTCGTAATATTATTGTTTTCAATTATGCAACATCAAAATAATCGAGTATTTACAAAAAAACGAGTTTAAAATTTAAGCCTTTCGTTACGTGCGCCCACTATTATAGTTCGCCATCCACGTAACTTTTTTTTTATTATTTAAATTTACTTTGATGATACTTTTTCAATATCTCCCTGATTAATTGCAATTGAAACTTTGCGATAGATATGGATTTTCTCATTTTATATTTGTAAAGGCAATAATTATCTAGCAAATGAAAAGAAAATTTGACAGTATCACTTTGATAATTTACTCATTGAATTCCTAATTCTTATAACCGGTTTATATCGGCTTTATCTAGTATATCTATTGAATTATTATAATGTAATACTCGTACAGGTTTTTGTATAACTTTCTTTTTTCGTCATGCATGAATACCGTTATAAATTTTGACATATGCATAAAATATAATTATTTTTATGTTTCCCATATAATACGACGAAACAGTTGTTATGTATTTTGGGATAAAATAAATACATTACAGTTGTTATATAACACTTATGTTAAATAAATGTACATACGGGAAAATGCTATATATAATTAAATAAAATTATTATAATTAAAATAAGATTGAAGCATTGAAAGACGTAAGTGTGAACATCAAAGACACTACCGTGCAATGTGCATACTTTTCAACGCAGTTTTCCCCCAGTTCAGTTGCATTACTTCGGCGGAACGAAGTTCCATAACGAAAGGATTAACATTTTAAAAGAGTGTTTGTTAAAAAAGATTAAAAATTACGGCGCAGTAAAAATATGGTAATGGATCTTTTAAAATATCTTCTCTATTTTAAGATATTCAGATGGGTATACACATAAATTATGTATGTGTATATATATATATATAGAGAGAGAGAGAGATTAGAGAATTAAAAAGATATTTATATTCAAAGTATACAGTTTGAAACTTGAATGAATAAAATCGAATGAATACACCAAGAATATCTATGGTCTAATTGTGAAAGATTATCAAGGTCTAGCGTGAATATTATATAATCGTTTAAATTAAATTCTACTAGCGCTCTAATAATTTGATATCTTTAAATATGATTGAAAATTAGTAGAAATTTGTGTTGTATACTCGACGATCTTTAAATCTACTTTCAAAAAATATTCTTTCTTTTTATAAATAATTTTACTTATATAATTTTAGAAAAAAAGAATATATATTTAAAATAAAGGGACACTATTTTAAGGGCGCATGTCTGATATAGTGAAATTTAAATTTTTTAAATAGTTAATCATTCGTGAATAAATAATCCAATAGGTATCATTAATCTTATTTGCTTTTTACATTTTATTTAACAACAGACGAGCGAGTTAGCTAAAATTTATTATAATATCATGAATTGCTTTTCCAACTTTAAATCAGAACAAGTTTTCTATTCGAAAAATGACTCAAAAATTTATCTAAAAAACAGATTATAAAATTATATTTAAAAATCTTAAAATCTTGTATGAAAAAGGAGACATCGAGAAAACAATTTCTTTCCACGATTAAATGTATTCTTTTAAAAAGCAAGCATTTTTCTTTTTCGCAGAACTAAAAATATAGCAAAGATAATAAATAAATAACAATTTAAAAAAGGAAATCAATGTGTGAGAAAGAGAGAACGTACCTTAATTTAAAATGTGAATGAAGACAACGTAGTAATTTGAAAAATTTTAAAGACGTGATTCCATGACGGACGTGTTCTGTGTGATGTTCGGAAACGTTATGAAGTTGCTTTCTTTGCGTACCGTTTTTATATATTCACATTAACTCACATAGTATATCGAAGTGATTATGTCTTGAAGAAACGTGAGAAATTTTAATGAAGCTCAATTTCTTTGACTTACTGCTAGATCTATTGCATTCCTAATGTAGTCAATAAAATCTGATATGTTTATCTGTTGTGCAACAATTTCGTTCTTACACAAAGAAACATGCTATATAATCGCTTGGAAGAAGCGATTCTATTCGGTTAACGAACGGAAATCTTCGATAAGAACCATTACAGCGATAAGAATCCATAAGTATAGTTATCGTTCAAAAATTATCGTATAAATTCAAATGTTAGATTCTTAATTATTGATCTTTATTATATATATAATTGATCTTCGATAATTGATCTTCATTATTTTATTATTATTTATTTATTGTAGTTTATTATTTATATATGTTTGTAATTTAATTATTGAATTTATCGATTTGTTGTTTTTTTGTTAAGAAAAGAAATAAGAAATGTATTTGTAGATATAATTATATAAGATAAATGCAATGAATTACTTATTATTAAATATGCGCGCATTTTAATCAAAAGTATACAAAAAAATGTTTATGAGATTTAATAATTTTTTTATAAATATGAAACTTAAAGATAAGATCGCTAACAGTAAACATCTAGATTAGAGATTCATTTTTACGATAAGATTATGAAGCATTACAAATCTTGTCACAAAAATGCATATAAATATACATTTATATATGTATATATAAATTTATATTTTTAATATTAATTTATTAATTATTGATTAAAGTCAATTCAAAAATTAAATTATAAAACAATATCTTCTTTTCGTATAATATTTGTATGTTTTAAATTACAATTATCGACAAAGTGCGCATGCGCGATATAAAATTATTTAAATCTAATATTTTTTATTCCCAACAGATGGCAGTTGTATCGAATGATGCTAGCTCCAGTACACATAACCTCCTTTGTCTTACTTGCGCGAATTTTTAATAACGCGCATCTAATTTCTCACCTCTTGGGTTTAAATGTCAAATTTATTTTTTATTAATTAATAAAACATCAACGTAATAATAAACATTTTTTACAAACTATTAAAAATAAAAAATGATTATATCATTTCTAACGATCGACATTTAATTCCTTTCAATCTCATAGCCTAAACAGGGGATACGACGCTGCTATCAAAGAATGGATTCTGCAAGAGGCGGAGGGCGATGATTCAGTTATGTTGCCTTCGACCGGTTATTTCAAAACGATCAATTGTCCGTTTTACGAGAACGGATTATGCGAAAGACCTTATTGTCATTTTAAACATGCCAAAAGAGGTGAGACTAACTAAATCATTCAAAGTCGCATTCTCAATTATAACCTGGACAAGTTCAATTGATTATTACTAATAAAATAATTAACAACCAATTGTTAATTTAACATTTTTCATCTTTAGATCAATTCCGGATATTAATCTAAATAAAAAACTTTGAATCCAATGATTGCATTCTTTGTTCAATAATTGCTTGAATGTATGCATTTGTATGTGTTGATTTTTTTTTCTTTGTTAGAAATTTCATTGAACAATGAAATTCCTTAAAAACTCTATTAGTTTATTTATTTATTACATTTATTATATATGTTGTATTGTGCTTAATTTATTAACCTAACATTTGGTATCCATTATATAATACGTATTGGATTATTGTTTAGAAGATGCAGGAAATACAGCAGGAATGGTTGGAGTGGTGGAGACCCAGGCAACGGGTCAAACTCAAACAAAATCAAATGCAGCCATTGCTGCTTCCAATTCAGATATGTTACAACAATTAGTAACTGAAGCTGTTAAAAAAGTGCTCGCAGATCAAGAAGTTACGGACACTGATAAATTCTCTAAGACTATAGTTTCGCAAGTGGTAGAAGGACTTAAGAAACCTTCCTTAACTTCTGACTCTGCTTCATCATCTGATACGACTACTAGCAATATTATCGGCAAGCATATGAATATTCCAACAACCATTACAAAACCAGTTCCTTGCGTCTACAATCCTACACCCATAGCTGAATTAAAGAAGAGGCATATTCCTGTGGTATCTTATATGCCGACCAGAGAAAACAGAGTTGCAGTCAAACGTAAATCTTCTCCGGATAGAATTAAACCTTGGTTAAGCATTATCAAAGATCCGACTAGTTCACAGACCACAGAGATCACTTATAAACCTACCGCTATCTCTTGCATCAATGATCAAGATTCCATACAGAGTTATATACCAACTTTTAAGTCAGATTCGTCTTCTTCCAATTCGTACGAAGATAGCAATTCCAATGACAACATACCCAAAGTCAAAGAAGCTTATTATCCGAAATCTAAGAAGAGAAGGGAAGAGTATGTCCCTAAAAAAGTCAAAGCTCCGTTAAAGAACGTTCAACAATTGGACGATACTGTGTTAGATCAATTTGAGCCAGAATTCGATATGATCGGAGAAATATTAACTGCTGCAACAACAGCTCTTAGCACAGTACCCAGCGAAGAATCTCAAGATTATTGTTTAGATATAGAACCAAAGTTTTCCGACGACGAACCCATGCCGGATGATACCAAAGAAAAATATGAATCTAACGTTTACAAAAGTTCTCTTTGTAACAACGAAAAAAAGTCTAGGGATAATGTACATGATTCGAAAACTGTCGATAAGAAGAGAAAACTTGACGAGGTAGAAAATGAACTGATTAATAATCATCATAATATAGACGACACTGTCGACGACAAAACTAAAAGTAAGAAACGAAGAGAATCTAGCGACAACGTGAAAGAGAAACATAAGGAAAGAAGAAAAGATGAAGATAGAATAAAAAAAGATCATAGAAGTAGTAGTAGAAGTAGTGATAAACACAAAAAGGACCATAATCGCTCAGGAAAAAGTAGTAAAGAAAGTAAGAGTTATAAATCTAGTTCGTCTGATAAACGACATTCGTCGTCGTCCTCTTCCTCGCATAAAGACAAAGAAAAAAATAAGAATAGTCACTCTTCTAAAGAGTCTACTCACAAATCAAAAGAACGTTCCAGTCACAAAGACAAAGATTCATCCGCTGAAAGATCGAATAAAGATAAACATAAAAGTAGTAAGCATGATAAGCATAAATCTAAAACGTATAACTCTAGTTCCAAATCTGATAAACATTCATCCAGTAAGAGTCATAGAAATCATCGATCAAGATCGCATCATCGATCCAGATCGAGAGATCGGATGCGTAGTCCATCTAAAAAAGACAAGCACGAAGAAGAAAATGACGACAACAAAATTAATACATTACTGAATGAAAGAGAATCTCTCAGTCCGGCCGAATCCTTACCAGGTTCTTTTGAGAATATTATTTTCGATTCGTCCGATTCCGAAACTGATGTGCAAGAGGAATGCCTTAAAATCTTTCAAGAATATAAAGTTTCTAATCATCCAAAAGTAGTCTCCATCAAAGAATCTGCTAAAGTAGTAGAAATTGAAGAGAATGAGGAATTTGGTAAAAAGAGAGTAGCGCATCCTTCTGCAGCAATGTCAATGGTATCTCGTCAAGTTGGTCCGAGTCAACCACCTAAAAGATTACCTAATCCTCAACAAAAAATGTATGAAAGATGGCGTTTGATGAGAGAAGCAGCTGCAGAAAAGGCAGCAGAAAAAGCTGCTGGAAAAATGGCATCTAATGTTACTAAAACTCAAATTACACCTACTCCAGTAATTCAACAACCAGCTAATAATGTCAACGACGAGTCAGTCGAATCTGTTTCTACGATAAATAATAACGAATTTCAGATGAATGGACATGGTAATAAATAATGCTCAAATAAATTCATTATAATTTAATATAAAGAATAATAATAATAATAATAATATCCAAAATGTTCTAGGTCGAATTAGAATTGCTCATGTCCCGTATGCTATGTCTCTTGCAATGAAAAAGAAACAGGTTAAAGAAAATATAGTCAAAACCAATGACTCTAAAGCAATTGACAATAAAACAATAGCCCAAACTAGCAAGGGTGGTGTACGAGTTGCTCACGTTTCACAAGTGGTACAAATATATATTATTAATTTATTTTATTAATCGCTTTTATTAATCTTATCTTTATTATGATATCTTATCTTTAGGTACCACAGCTAATACGTCCAGAACCACTTCAGCCAATGACACAAAAGTTCCCATTGAACGTACGTCAGTATTATATCAATATAATGCAAGATATATGTGTACAAATTTATACTAATGGCGATGATGCTGCCCAACGTGCTGTACGAGAGGAATTTACCTGTCACGAAAAATGTAAAGCGCTTACGGTATACAAAAATTCTTGTATGTTAGCTGCGCATAGATTGAGAAAGGAAGTCGATCAAAATCGTTCCTCGGATGGCAGTAACACGACAGCAAGTGGTACCGTATCGCACGAAGCTGTACTTGCTGGTAAATCCAAAGGTTCTTGGAGTGTCTTGAGAACAAAAAAAGCAATAACTGATTTTAAGGGTTCAGCATTGTATAGTATGTTAAAAAAATGGATTATGACAGAAGAACAATTACAGGATAATGGATTTCCTCGTGCTCATCCAGAGGGTACTAAGGTAAAAAATTACATTAATCATACGAACAAAGATGATTTAATATGAATTTTTAATACTTGTATCAGGGACGTGCTAAAGTTTATGTTATAAACTCGCGTAATCAAACCGTGCTATCGAAAGTGCCTAATGAAAGGATCTGTAGTCGTTGTGGACAAAATTATATGGTAGACAAACAGGGCTTTCCTGTACAGCAACAGAATTGTATATATCATTGGGGAAGAAAGTTTACGATTAAGGGAGAAGGAAAATATAGTTGTTGTCAACAATATGGATCTGCTACTGGTTGTTGCGACGCCAAATTCCATGTATGGAATTATACTGATTATGAAAATCTTCGCGGTTATATAAAAACCTTACCAAAAGGTAACGCATGCTTCATATTAGTATTTTCCATTTTTACTATTTTGTTCAAAGAAAAGAAAATAAATAAAACATAAACAAAAAACAAATTAAAGATATTGCTGAAGAAGAACAAGGAGTCTATGCGCTCGACTGTGAGATGTGTTACACTACCCAAGGATTAGAATTGACAAGGATAACGGTTATTAATGACGAATGTAACGTCATATATGAAACATTAGTCAAACCTCAGAATCCAATAG